GGGTGGCCTGGCCAAGCCGTCCCATGTGCGGCCTCAGGGCCCCCATGCGCAACCAAAGCAGCTCTCCTCCCCCCTTATGATCCCTGTCGGACTCTGGAGGTGGCTGCTGCTGCTGTTGGGGTCCTTCCTGCCGGTTACCCCAAGAGCAACCTGCCTCCCCAGGCCCCAAGGAGAAAGGTGGGGGTCAGTCCTTAAGCTGGGAGGGCAGAGGGGAAGCAGACCCCAGAGAGAAAAAACTGACTTTCCCGAGACAGCAGAGGGTGGGACAGGCTGGGAAAGCCGTGAGAGCCACTTACCTAGGACGGTGAGCTGGGTCCCGCCGCCAAAGGTGAACAATGGTGACTGAGACTCGGACCAAAAGCCGTCGGGCCAGCACCTGGGGCCTGTCCTCCGGGGGCCAGGCCGGAGCGGGGACCTGCTGGGCATGACGGGAACAGGGCTGTAGCAGGCAGGGCTGTGTCCTCAGGTTGGGAGGGTGGGCAGCCAGCCCCCCCGAGGCTGGGGCACTCCTGGGTGTCCCCATGCCCAGCCCCCTGTCTGAGGAAGGAGCCACTCACACCGTGTCACCCAGTGTGTCCCCCTAACTCTGAGGCTGCCCTGTGACCACTGAATCCTCAGTGCTGATGGTGCCGCTGAGTGACGAGTCCCCTCGGGTGGCCATGTGGTGTGGCAGAGTGAGTCCTGAGCTGGCTTGGACCTGCCCGACCTCTCCTGGCCTCATTTTAGGGCTTCTGGGTGTTCCTTCCCCCATAATTTCCCACAGTCCAGCCAGGCAGCTTTCTCCCTGGGCCTGTGGACACCAGGTCATTTGGGGGCCCCCTGCCCTGTTGTCTCCACTCATTGAGATGCAGTTCAGTTCCTCCTCTTTCATGAAGCCTTCTTGGATCTTTCAGATCATTGTCTTTCTGTCCATCTGTTTTTCAATCCATCATCCATCCATCCATCCATCATCCATCCATCCATCCATCATCTGTCATCCATCCATCCGTCCATCATCCATCCATCTATCAACCATCCGTCCATCATCCATCCATCATTCATCCATCATCCATCCATCCATTCATCCATCCATCCATCCATCCAACCAACAATGGCTCCCAAACACTCTCCGGCCAAGCACTGTTTTACATTCTGGGACATGCCAGGGCCCTTCTGGCTCTCACCCCTTCTCTCCCTGAAATCTCTCAGGTGATGGACAACAGGGCCCTCATCTGGGTCAAGTCTAAGGTCCCTCTCTAGGTCCTGTTGTACCTAATGTCTCTGCAGGATGTAGCATAGGGTTGGCCCCTCTTTCCAGTGACGGGTGGCCTGGCCAAGCCGTCCCATGTGCGGCCTCAGGGCCCCCATGCGCAACCAAAGCAGCTCTCCTCCCCCCTTATGATCCCTGTCGGACTCTGGAGGTGGCTGCTGCTGCTGTTGGGGTCCTTCCTGCCGGTTACCCCAAGAGCAACCTGCCTCCCCAGGCCCCAAGGAGAAAGGTGGGGGTCAGTCCTTAAGCTGGGAGGGCAGAGGGGAAGCAGACCCCAGAGAGAAAAAACTGACTTTCCCGAGACAGCAGAGGGTGGGACAGGCTGGGAAAGCCGTGAGAGCCACTTACCTAGGACGGTGAGCTGGGTCCCGCCGCCAAAGGTGAACAATGGTGACTGAGACTCGGACCAAAAGCCGTCGGGCCAGCACCTGGGGCCTGTCCTCCGGGGGCCAGGCCGGAGCGGGGACCTGCTGGGCATGACGGGAACAGGGCTGTAGCAGGCAGGGCTGTGTCCTCAGGTTGGGAGGGTGGGCAGCCAGCCCCCCCGAGGCTGGGGCACTCCTGGGTGTCCCCATGCCCAGCCCCCTGTCTGAGGAAGGAGCCACTCACACCGTGTCACCCAGTGTGTCCCCCTAACTCTGAGGCTGCCCTGTGACCACTGAATCCTCAGTGCTGATGGTGCCGCTGAGTGACGAGTCCCCTCGGGTGGCCATGTGGTGTGGCAGAGTGAGTCCTGAGCTGGCTTGGACCTGCCCGACCTCTCCTGGCCTCATTTTAGGGCTTCTGGGTGTTCCTTCCCCCATAATTTCCCACAGTCCAGCCAGGCAGCTTTCTCCCTGGGCCTGTGGACACCAGGTCATTTGGGGGCCCCCTGCCCTGTTGTCTCCACTCATTGAGATGCAGTTCAGTTCCTCCTCTTTCATGAAGCCTTCTTGGATCTTTCAGATCATTGTCTTTCTGTCCATCTGTTTTTCAATCCATCATCCATCCATCCATCCATCATCCATCCATCCATCCATCATCTGTCATCCATCCATCCGTCCATCATCCATCCATCTATCAACCATCCGTCCATCATCCATCCATCATTCATCCATCATCCATCCATCCATTCATCCATCCATCCATCCATCCAACCAACAATGGCTCCCAAACACTCTCCGGCCAAGCACTGTTTTACATTCTGGGACATGCCAGGGCCCTTCTGGCTCTCACCCCTTCTCTCCCTGAAATCTCTCAGGTGATGGACAACAGGGCCCTCATCTGGGTCAAGTCTAAGGTCCCTCTCTAGGTCCTGTTGTACCTAATGTCTCTGCAGGATGTAGCATAGGGTTGGCCCCTCTTTCCAGTGACTTGGTTCTCCTTAATGTCTGTGACCCCCACTTTCTTCCTTCTTTGTTTTCCCTTTCCCCTGACCCATGCATGGCTACTGATCACCAGACTGCCTCCCTGGGTCCTCCTTCTTTGCCATCTTCCCACAATGTGCCCACATGATGAGGCTTGAGTCTATTCCAGCTCCAAACCCTTTCCTCATCTCCACTTAAGTTGCCTACTGACCATCTCCAGCTGGATGCCCAACAGGAAACTCTAACTCACCACTTCCACATGAGACTGACCACTTTTCTCCTATTCCAGTTCTTTTTCTGTCTTTACCTTGTCACAGGTGACCATGAGTGCTCTCACCCCCAGGCCAGAAAACTTTGTCCTTAGATTCTGCATCTAAACACTCCTTCTTAAAGTTAAAACAAGGCCCCAAATAATTAAGAAACAACAGAACCACCCTCAGAGACTCCAAAGCCACAAGAAGTTCCAGGTTTTGCCTTTGCTGATTTAAATTCCCAACTCTCACAAAGATGCAGCATTGAGTTGGGGCTCGTTGGATGCAAGAATCTCTGCCAGAGGATCACACCAGTGTGTTTTCCACCTGCTAAGCTGGCCCAGTTAGCTGTGGTTGGTTTTGTGAGGCAAATATAAAATCTTTTGCTTTAAATTTTTAATTGTTTTAAAATTATAAGAATATTAGATATATAACACAAGTAAGCAATCTAGAAGTGCATTTAAAAAGTGCAACGAGGGCTTCCCTGGCGGCACAGTTGTTGAGAGTCCGCCTGCCGATGCAGGGGACATGGGTTCATGCCCCGGTCCGGGAAGATCCCACATGCCGCAGAGCAGCTAGGCCTGTGAGCCATGGCTGCTGAGCCTGCGCGTCCGGAGCCTGTGCTCCGCAACGGGAGAGGCCACAGCAGTGAGAGACCTGCGTACCACAAAAAAAAAAAAAAAAAAAAAAAGTGCAATGAAAGGACACTGGGGACTTCCCTGGTGGTCCAGTGGGTAAGACTGCGCTCCCAATGCTGGGGGTCCGGGTTCATTCCCTGGTCAGGGAACTAGATCCCACATACATGCCACAACTAAGAGCCCTCATGCTGCAACTAAGAAGTCTGTGTGCTGCAACTAAATATCCTGCTTGCCACAACGAAGATCCCACGTGCCAAAACTAAGACGTGGTGCAGCCAAAATTAATTAATTAATTAATTAAAAAAGAAAAGATACTAGACAGTAACTCAAAGTCTCTATTCACAGATGACATGATCTTATATACAGAGCAAATAAATTCCGCAGGTGTGTGATCAACACACTAGCAATGAACAATTCAAAAAGCGAAATTAAGAAAACAATTCCATTTGCAATGGTATCAATTAAGAATAAATTTAACCAATGAGGTGAAAGACTGTACACTGAAAGCTGCAAAATGTTGTTCGAAGAAGTTAGAGAAGACCTAAATAAATGGAAAGATGTCCTGCGTTCATGGATTGGAAGAGTTAATATTTGAAAGAGGACAATAGTAACCAAAGTGACCCACAGATCCAATGCAGTCCCTATCAAAATCTCAGTGGGTGATCATTGTTACAGAGATGGAAAAGCTGATCCTAAAATTCACATGGAATTGCAAAGGACTCCAATAGGCAAAACAGTCTTGAAAAAGAACAGGGAATTCCCTGGTGGTCCAGTGGTTAGGGTTCCACGCTTCCACTGCAGGGGATACCCTGTTCAGGGAACTAAGATCCTGCAAGCCCTGCAGTGTGGGAAAGAAAGAAAGAGAGAGAGAGAGAGAGAGAGAAAGAGAGAGGGAGGGAGGGAGGAAGGAAGGAAGGAAGGAAGGAAGGAAGGAAGGAAGGAAGAATCTCCTCAGCAAATGGTGTTGGGACAACTGGACATCCACATGCAAAAGAATGAAGTTGGACCCCTACCTCATACCATACACAAAAACTCAAAATTGATCGAAGACCTAAGTGCAAAAGCTAAAACTATCTCAGAATAAAACATAGGTGTAGGTCTTCATGACCTTGGGTTAGGCAGCAGATTCTTAGATATGACACTAAAAGTACAAGCAATAAATGAAAGAATAGATAAGTTGGACTTCATCAAAATTCAAAACTTTTGTGCCTCCAGGTACATTATCAAGAAAGTGAAAAGACAACTCACAGAATGGAAGAAATAATTTGAAAATCATATGTCTGATAAGGGTCTAGTATCCAGGATATATAAAGAAATCTTATGACTCAACAAAGCAACAAAAAGACAACTGATTTAAAAGCTGAGCAAAGGGCTTGAGACATTTCCCTAAAGAAGATAGAAAAATGACTGACAAGCACTTGAAAAGACCCCTAACATCATTAATAATTATAGAAGTGCAAATCAAAACCACAATGAGATACCACTTCACAGCCAGTGGGATGGATATAAAAATAGCAATAATAAAAAAAGGAAATAACAAGTGTTGGTGAGGATATGGAGAACTGTAACTCTTGTGCATTGCTGGTAGGATTGTAAAATGGTGCAGCCACTGTGAAAAACAGTTTGGCCAACCTCAAAAGTTAAACGTAAAGCTACCACGTGACCCAGCAATTCCACTGTTAGGCATTTACCCCAAAGAATTGAAGACAGATACTCAGAAAAACACTTGACATGAATGTACATGACAGCACTATTTACAATAACCCAAAGGTGGAAATAACACATTAACTAATGAACAGATAAACAAAATGTGGTATATCCATAAAAGGGAATATTGGGACTTCCCTGGTGGTGCAGTGGTTAAGAATCCGCCTGTCAACGCAGGGGACACGGATTCAAGCCCTGGTCTGGGAAGATCCCACATGCCTCGGAGCAACTAAGCCCGTGCGCCACAACTACTGAGCCCGCACTCTAGAGCCCGTGCTCTGCAACAAGAGAAGCCACCGCAATGAGAAGCCCGCGCAACCCAATGAAGAGTAGCCCCCACTAGCTGCAACTAAAGAAAGCCAGCACGCAGCAACAAAGACCCAACGCAGCCAAAAATAAATACATAAATAAATTAAAAAACAAAAAAAGGAATATTATTTGGCCTTAAAAAGAATGACGTACTGACTCCTGCTACAACATGGATGAACCTTGAAAACATGATGCTAGGTGAAATAAGCCAGACACTAGGGTCTTATATTGTATGATTTCATTTATATGAAATACCCAGAATAGGCAAATTCATAGAGACAGAAAGCAGATTACTGGTTGCCAGGGGCTGGTGAATTGGGGGAATGCAGAGGGACTGCTTTGGGGTTTCCTTTGGGGTGATTAATAGACTCAGGAAAAAGATAGTGGTGATGGTCACAAAACATAGTGAACGCACTGAATGTCACCGAATTGTGTATTTTAAAATAGTTAAAATAGTGAATTTTGGGAATTCCCTGGTGGTCCACTCGTTAGGACTTGGTGCTTTCACTGCTGGGGGCCGGGTTTGATCCCTGGTCAGGGAACTAAGGTCCCAAAAGCTACTCGGCCAAAAAAAAAAAAAAAAGTGAATTTTATGTTAAAAGAATTTTATCTCAGTTTCTTAAAACACTGACAGTACCGAGTGCTGGGGAGAATACAGAGCAACTGTAACTCGTCCACATTGCTTGTGGGAATGTAAAAAGTTTTAGCCACTCTGGAAAGCTGTTTGGTAGTTTTATATAAACATACACTTACCCTCTGATAAATCAAATCCTACTGCTAGGTATTTAACCAAGGAATGAAAACTCATGTTCAAACAAAGACTTGTATGCAAATGTATATACTGTATTTATTTATCATTGCCAAAAACTGGAAACAACCCAAATGTTCCTCTATTGGTGAATAGTTAATAAACTCTGATACGTTCATAGATGGAATCCTACTTAGCAATAGAAAGGAACAAACTATAGATAAAGGGGATAATTGGATAATTGCAAAGGTGTTATACTGAACTAAAGAAGCCAGACTCATACGGTTACGTACTTGGAATATATTGAGCAATAGAAAGGAACGAAGTATGTACAACCAACAGTCTGGATGAACAGCCAGAAAACTATGCTGAGTAAAGAAAGTCGCTTCCAGGGCTTATATCCAGAGAAAACCATAATTGGAAAAGTCACATGCACCCCAATGTTCATTGCAGCACTATTTACAGTAGCCAGGACATGGAAGCTACCTAAATGTTCATCACAGAGGAATGCATAAAGAAGATGTGGTACATACATACAATGGAACATTACTCAGCCATAAAAAAGAATGAAATAATGCCATTTGCAGCAACAGGGATGGACCTAGAGATTGTCATACTGAGTGAAATAAGTCAAAGAAAGACAAATACCATATGATATCGCTTATATGTGGAATCTAAAAAAATGGTACAAACGAACCTATTTACAAAATAGAAATAGAGTCACAGATATAGAGAACAAACATGGTTACCAGGGGGCAAAGCGGGGGAGAGATAAACTGGGAGATTGGGATTGACATATACACACTACTAAATATAAAATAAGTAACTAATAATAACCTACTGTATAGCACAGGGAACACTACTCAATACTCTGTAATGGTCTATAAGGGAAAAGAATCTAAAAAAGTGTGGACCTATGTATAGCTATAACTGATTCACTTTGCTGTCCACCTGAAATTAACAACACTGTAAATCAATTATACTCCAATAAAAATTTTTTAAAAAAAGAAAAAGAAAGAAAGTCGGTCCCAAAAGGGTACATGCAGTATGATTCCATTTATAGAACAATCTTGAAAGGACAAAATTAGAAAAGAAGACCAAATTAGTAGTTGCCAGAGTTAGCAGAGGCTTGGGAGGGAGAGAAATGAGCGTGGCTAGAAAGGAAACTTTGTGGCCATGGAAATGTTCTGTACCTTGACTGCCTCCATGTCAATATCCTGGCTGTGATTTTTTTATTTTACAAGACATTACCGTTGGGAGAAACTAGGTGAAGGGTAGATGGGATCCCTCTGTATTATTTCTTACAGCTGCATGTGAACCGACAGTTATCCCAAAACAAAAAGTTTAATTTAAAAAAAGATTACATACTGCATGATGCCGTTTATATCTCGAAAAGGCAAAACTATAGGATCAGAAAGAGATCAGTGGTTTCCATGGTTGGGGCAGAAAAAGGGATTGACTACACAGAGGGCGCAGGGAAATTTTGGTGGGGGGTGGAAATGTTCTGTATCTTGATTGTGGTGAGGGTCACACAACTCTATAGTTTTATTAAAATTTATACAACTGCTAATACCAAAAAGGATGAATTTTACTCTGTAAATCGAAATAAAACAAAAGCAGTGTGCTAGTATGACATATTGCAACCTGTTTATAAAAATCTTTATTATGTCATTACAGTTGTCAAAAAAACCATATCAAATGACTGTAATACTCCCTACCAGGAATGTACCGTAGTTTATTTTGCCTTCCCTTATCATTGGACATTTAGGTTGTTTCTACTTTTTCCCCAGGAACACACTTATAGTATTTAGCTGAAGTTCTGATTATATCATCAAGATAAATTTCTAGAGGTGGAATTGCTTGATTAAAAGGAATGTATGGGGCTTCCCTGGTGGCGCAGTGGTTGGGGGTCCGCCTGCCGATGCAGGCGGCGCGGGTTCGTGCCCCGGTCCGGGAGGATCCCGCGTGCTTCAGGCCGCTGGGCCCGTGGGCCGTGGTCACTGGGCCTGCGCGTCTGGAGCCTGTGCTCCGCGACAGGAGAGGCCGTGGCAGTGAGAGGCCCACGTACAGCTAATAATAATAATAAAAAGGAATGTATGTTTTTATGAGTCTTGGTGTGTTATTCCAGAAATTGTTTGTTCCAGAAAATCAGCCTCCCGCTGACAGTCCATGACTGTGCCCATTCCTCCCCATCAGCACTCTGATAACGTCACTTTAAATTCACTTGGCTATTTCATAGCAGATCTTGGTACCTGGTTACCGTGGACCTCCTCCCCATCCCCAAGGCACAGGCTTTGGCCAAAGCCCCTTCTCCACGTCCCTTCTCCATTCTCTAATCTGCCCTCACAGTGGTCTCTGATCTGGAGCCATTTTTCCAAAACACAAACCTGACTCTGACAGTGCCCCACTTAAATCCCTCAATGACTCCTCATGGACCCCAGTATAAAGGACTGGGTTACAAGACCCCCATGGTCTGCACCCCGCTCTCCCCGGCTCTGGAAGCTCCCTGCGGGTCTGTGCACCTCAACTCTCCTCCTCAGCACCCCTTGCTCCCTTTGCCTGGAGCCCCCCCATCATGGGTCAGGGCCCTGGATCTGTAAGACCAGCTCGGGCATCCCTCACCACATCTTACTTCTCCTAAAATGGTCCATGGGTCTGCCCTATGCCTGGACACGACCCCCTTGGTTCAGGCCCACCCTGAGACCCTGAGTGGCCTGTCGGGTGAGTGGACGTCCTCGGGGGAGACTAACTTCTTGCAGACCATCCCTTCTCTTGGACCATTTTGTTAAAATACAGGACACAGCATTCTCTTAGCTGTCCAGCAAAAAAGCCAAGGGGGCATCCTGGCTCCTCCCTCTCCTGGTCCTCTCACCTCCTGACTCTGTCCAGCTCTCTGTCCACTCTGCCCATGACAACACCTCCCTCCCTGAGGCCTCTCTAGTTCTGATTTCCCGCCCCCTCCCACCCACCCAAATCCAGTCACATTTCCTTGCAAACATCCCCCAGGACCCCCCAGATGAAGTCTATCCTCCAGGGACAGGTCCTCCACGTCTGGGCCTGGCCGCCCCTCTAGCCTCTCTCAGACCCACGTGCCGCAGCCCTGCGGACCCCCGGGCGCTTCCTGAGGGTTCTGTGCCTGTGTTGCCTTGCCCAGGTGGACCCCTTGACCTGAACTCCAACCCCAGTGGGGCCCCCTCTGTCCTGCAGGCAGCGCGCTGCATGTGGTGGTTGTCGCCGGGCCCCTCTTCCCTGGACCTTGAGTTGGGGCCTGACCTGATGGAGATCCTTCTCTCCTCGTGTTCTGCTGGATCCTGCCCTGGCTGTGCAGTCCCTACCGGACGCTGCGGTGCCGGCCCCGACCTGACACTCACAGACACCCACCCCCCTCCACGGCTGTGCTCCTGGTGCCGCAGACTCCACTCCTCCTGTCCCAGACCTTCACCACCGTGGCCCCAGCATCCCTGGGGCAGGCGTCAGGCTGCAAGGCCCTCATCCAACTAGGACCCCTCACTTTGCAGAGGGGGAAACTGAGGCTCAGAGAGGCGGACTTGTCAGCCGGGTCTGTTTAGGTGATAGGGATGGGGACAGCTGGAGGCTTGGGCGTTGGAGTCAGAACCAGCTGTGTGACCTTGGGGAGTTGCCTCACCTCTCTGGGCCTCTATCCCTGTAAATTGGGGGTGACAGAGGGACCTGCCTTGTGGGGCCACTGAGAGGGAGGTTCTGCCCCTAAATGGTCAGCGCCCACGATGAATGTGCTGCTGTGTCACTGATCATCACAAATGGTCCCAGATGCTCAGCAGTTTGTCCAGGGACCTCCCACCACAAGCAGAGAGGAGGGGGCTGGGGTCACACAGCAGCGGCAGGGGCACACTGCGGCCCCCACGGACCCTCCCCCAGGCCTTTCTCATGGAGACACCTGCACCCTGGTGGGCTTGGGCTCCCAGGGACCAGTCGCAGGAGGTGGTCCTTGGCTGGGGGACCCGGGGACACCAGGGTAGGTCTCCTCACCACACAGCCTCAGCCAGAGCTTGAGCCCTGGTGCTCCAGGGACCAGAGCCTGCCCAGCCAGGGGAAGGGCGAGGAGGTGGCTCACCAGCTAAGAGGAGCCCCAGGGATCCCAGGATGACAGCAGCCACTGCCCCCTCCTGCCCCTGCCTCCCTGTTCCTGCTCTACCCCGAGGACCAGAGCGAGGTGGGTGAGGCACTAGTCTTGGGTACAAAATGTAAGGGGCGCCAAAAAAATCAGTAATTCAGATAAATATTTTAATACAATATAAAAAAATAAAAATTAATGCAAACAAATCTACACTGGACAAAATGTCAACCCTTCAAATAAAGCCACCGTCTGCCCAGGCCCCTCCTCTCCAGCTGATGCTCCCTTCTCGCCCCTCTCCCCTCACCTGCTCTCTGTCCCCACTCCCAGTTCTGCCTGCAGGGACCCTCATGTCCCCCCATGATTCCCTCGGCCCCTTACCTGTGCCAGGGGTTCCAAGGGCTGCTTCCTGCCAGGGTTTCCTCGTGGGGGGCCGTGCTCCGCGGTGCTGGCGTCAGGGGCAGCAGGCCATGGGCGCCCACGGCCAGGCCCAGCACTATTAGAGGCCAGTTGTGCCTGGGGACACAGCTCTGACCCCTGCGGGCCTCACAGCCCCACTGGCCTGTCCTGGGCCTCATGTGCCCTCAGGTCAAAGGCACCTCTGGCCGACCCGCTGGCGTGGGCTCCCTGGAGGGGTGTTGGCAGGTGCCCCCGGCTCCCCTCTCTGGCGGTAGCCGTCCCAGGGCGTCCTGGCCCACATGGCCCTGGCCTCTGCCTGGGCCTTCTCTGTCCCTGCCCCCAGCACCCGGCCCCCTCCAGGGTCCATGGCCGTTACTCCTGGGGGCCTCTCCCAAGAGGGGCACCCGCCAACTGCTCTGCTGTGGTCGGAATCCAGGGCTCAACCGCCTCATGCTGCAGCCCCTGCCGGCCCCACCCCTGGGACCCTGGGTGGGGCACATCTGCTCCTGCCCTAGTTCCCAAGGGCGCCTGTGTAACATCTCCCTGGGGCCTGGAGAGGCCGAGGAAGGCGGCAGAGTGCCAGCAGAACAGGAGCGGCTGAGGCCTGAGCTCAGCAGGGTGAGGCTGGGGCTTCTCTTCCCACCAGCCTTGGGCGGGGGTGGTGAGAGGGGAGGAAACAGGTGCAGGTTTAGCAAGAAGCCAGCTTCAAGTCAGGGAATCGTGATTTCATTATAAAATGGTGGGTTTAATGATCTGTGTTCAGCACCTCATGGTCTCACTCCCCCCGCCCCGTCGTGTCTCTCTCTCTCTCTCTCTCACACACACACACACACACACACACATACACACACACACTCATAGATTTTATCCAGAGGTCACCACCACCAGCAGAGTGTCCGGTGCACAGTGGGGACTTCTGAGAGGCCCCCCTTTCCCTCTCCCGTCCAGGGGAGCCTGCCTGCCTCCACAACATCTGGATGCATCATCGCCCAGGGACCCTGTGCTTTGGGGTGGGGTGGGAGGTGGGCAGAAAAGAGGCACTGAGCCCACCTTGGGTAGCGAGGGCCTGGCTCTGTGCTGGTGCTGCCAGCAGTGATGCCTCAGGAATGTTATACATAACATAAAATTTGCCATTTTAGCCACTGTTAAGTGTACAATTCAGTGGCATTAAGTCCCTTCACATGGTTGTACAACCATCACCACCATCCACATCCAGAACCTTCACACCTTCCCAAACTGACTGTCTGTCCCCATTAAACACGATCTTCCCATCTGCCTCCCCAGCCCCTGGGAATCACCCTTCTGCTTTTTTTTTTTTTTTTTTTTTTTTTTTTTTTTTTTTTTTTTTTTTTTTTTTTTTTTTTTTTTTTTTTTTTTTTTTTTTTTTTTTTTTTTTTTTTTTTTTTGCCATCCTGCACAGCCTGCGAGATCTTAGTTCCCTGACTGGGGATCGAACCTGAGCCCCCTGCAGTGCAAGCAGAGTCTTAACCAGTGGACCACCAGGGAATTCCCCACCACCATTCTGCTTTCTGTCTCTATGATTTTGACCCCTCTGGGGACTTCATATAAGTGGAATCAGACGGGATTTGCACTTTCAAAGTGCTTTTTAAACTGGGAAGTGCTCCACGCACAACACAGATGGAGGATGACTATAATTATATTTCTTATTATCATCATTGGGAGATGGCCCATCTGGTGTGGCTTGGGAAAACCATCGGCCATCAAAAAACAAACGAATCCCTGATGCTATCCAACTGCCACTTTTCAAATTTTGCGTTGCAACTCCCAGAGGTTGTGGAACCAATTCAGTCAGGTGCAGCCAGAGTCCTGCAACAGCGAGGTCATCCAGAGCAGACGGAGAACAGAGGGCGTCCGCGCGAGGCGAGGGCAGCTGGTTCGTGGGGTCCTGCCTCAGTTATCCGAAAATGGGAAATGCATTTCTTACTGGGGCTTTTGATAGAAAAACCTTTGGAAAACGCAGTCCCGGCCCAGTTGTTTGCAGGAGATGGAGCTCCTCAGCAAATCTGCCCTTGCACGTCAAGTCTGTGTTTGAACTTGAGTTCAAGTTCAGACTGGATGGGGTTCGTGTTTGAAACCACTCTTTGCTTCAGGTCCTGATGGTTTGTCCCTCTCTGTGAGGTTCTCCCCAGGAGCCCCCAGAGTGAATTTCATAGATGCCACGTACCCTAGTGGAGTTGGGCCATTCCAGATATCCTGTTGGCATCTGTCTTACCGTGGTCATGGGATGCTGTAGCAGACAGACTGATTTCCCCATATCACAGGGAGTTCAAGAAGGCCACCGTGAGGTCAGACTCCGTGGACCGATGTGACTTTGCTTAGATCCTCATGTCCCACACACACTGACCGGGCATCCCTGAGGCCAGGTACTGCATCCCAAGACCTCACGGTCCTCGGGAAGATGGGCCAGCACTGAACGGTAACTGGGTGCGGGTGCCCTGACACGTGATGCGGGGTATAGGGGAGCCCCTGGGAGGCCCTGATCCAGTCCAGCTTCTCCCCATTGTGGTGCTTGGCCCACTCCAGCCTCATACCTGGGTTCCTTGTACCTTGGGGCCTGGGGTGGGGTTCCTGCCAGGGTCCAGGCTGAAGCTGCTCCCTCCCCGCACCCCTGTGTGGGTGTGACACTCACCCACTGCCCGGCGCCCAGAAGCTGTGGTTCCCCCGAGGACAGCCCCAGGTCCTGGGGAGAAGAAGGGGCTGTCCCTGAATTCAGTGACCCCAGCTACTCCCCATAACCTGCCCTGCACCTGCTGTTGCTACAAACCACATCCTCCTGTGGTGGCCATGCTTGGAAATCCGGGTCTGGCTGGTCCCTGGAGACCGTCAGGGGATGGGCAGGGCCTTCCCAGCTGGTGCAGCTGCAGCTCTGGCCTCCCGGGCCTGTTCCCACCCCATCCCTGGACCGAGAATGGCTGAGGGCTGGATTCAGGCCGAGCCAGAGAGGTCTGGGTCCAGATGTCCTGCTCAGCAGACCCCCTGCTCAGGGTCCCTGGCTCCTCTGTGCCCTGCCCCCATCCGTCTCCCCTGGAGCAGAGGGGTGTGTCATGCCCAGTCACTTCTGCCCTGCTCCCGTGTCAGAGCGCGACCCCTGCCTCCTCCTGGTCAGCCGCCTGCCCATTCTCCATCCCACAGGCCCCAGAGACTCCTCCTGTGGCCACCAGGACCTCTCTCCCAAGTCGTCTCCAGAGCAGACACGTGGGCCCATCTTCTCCAAGTCCCAGGTGTGAACGTTCTAGAAAATTCCAGGTTCTTGGGATCACTAGACCTGCTATATGACTCCCAAGCCCTTCTCTGGGGGTGGTCTCCGCTATTGTGGAAGGTTGAAAACATTCTCCAAATCCCAGAGGTCTGGAGGTTTCATTCGACGTGAGAGTGACGCTGTAGTCACCCTTGTTTATTTAAGGCCAGTGTAAGAGTTAATTTTATGTGTCAACTTGGCTGGGCCACAGTGCCCAGATATTTGGTCAAACATTCTGGATGTTTCTGTGAGGGTTTATTTGGATGAGATTGACATTGAAATCAGTGGATTAACATGAAATTGATGCTTTGAGTAAAACAGATTACCTCCCTAATATGGGTGGGCCTCATCCAATCATCTGAAGGCCTGAGTAGAACAAAGACTGACTTCCCCAGAGCTAGAAGGAATTTTGCAGCAGATGGATTCACTGCCCCTTTTCCCTGGGTCTCCAGCCTGCTGGTCCATCCTGCAGATTTTGGACTCACACCTCTACAACCATGTAAGCAATTCCTTAAAATAAATCTCTATTTATAGACACACACATCCTGCTGGTTCTGTTTCTCTAGAGAACCCTGGCTCACACAGCTCATCGCATGGATGGTCATTGTGATTCCTGTTTCCCAGACGAGGACACTGAAAGTTAGGGCCTTGTTTAGGTGCAGTGACGTGACTTTGGGTTGAGAAGGAGTAGAACCTTCTTGGTCCAGGGTGGAGGTGGCAGGGGAGGAGTGGGTGTGGACTGTGAACACCAGGCTGGGGTGGCTGGGGTGGGCAGTTTCGTGCCTTGAGTCCCCGTCTGTCACGTCACCATGAGTCACGGCTCCCACCGCCACGGTAGATGGCACTGTAATAGCCTCGTCCTCGGCCCAGTCCCCGCTGATGATCAGGATGGTTGTGTTCCCTGAATGGAGCCAGAGAATTGGTCAGGGATCCCTGAGGGCCGGTTGCTATTGTCATAGACGAACAACACAGGGGCCTGGCCCGGCTTTTGCTGGTACCAAGATGCATGTTTATGCATGACATTACCTCCTGAGGAGGTGATCCTGACCTTGTTCCGAGGGCTATTGACACTGAGGGCGGCTGGGTCAGTTCATAGGAGGCCGTGGAGCCTGTAAGAGAGGAGGAGAGGGGACTTCCCTGGTGGTCCAGTGGCTAAGACTCTGTGCTCCCAATGCAGGGGGCCGGAGCTTGATCCCTGGTCAGGGAATTAGATTTCACACGCCGCAACTAAGGAGCCCACATGCTGCAACTAAGACCCAGTGCGTCTTAGTTAAATAAATAAATATTTTTAAAAATGAGAGAGAGAGGAGGGGAGAGCGGACTTGAAGATGAAGGCCCATTCCCAGGGGCTCCCCCCCTCAGGCTGATCCTGTAGCAGCTGTGGGGGACGGGGGCGGGGGGGGGGACGGTGCGCAGCACCTGTGCAGAGAGTGAGGAGGGGAGCAGGAGAGGGGTCCAGGCCATGGTGGAGACGCCCCGAGCTCTGTCTTATGCGCCTGGAGCCGGGCATGACCTCCCAGACCCTCTCATTGTGGCTCATGCAAACCTGACCCCTCCTGTCTTTGCTGTGGTCTCCCTGTGCATCTGAGGCGCTGGTCCCAGTTAGGGGCGCGGCCATCTCGCTGGGCTCCCCACACCCCACAGGGCTTCTCCCTCTGCCCTCCTGCGTCAGGGAAGGCTGGCTCTGCCTTTGGGTCTGAGATGTGGTCAGGGCCCCAGAACTGGCCCCATATGTGCCTCCCGCCGTGGGCACCCACTTCAGGCGGCTCAGAGCAGAGACAGGAGCAGAGCCCCCTCCTTCCTGTTGCTGTCCGATGCCTGCAGCACTGCCTCCTGGCCCTGGTCGCACCTCCCAGGGAACATTCATCCCTTTTATGGAGGGTCGTTTGCATTTCAGGCATCTCTCAGGCCTGAGTCTACACAGATTCACAAGAAACAAATCAGTGGTCCCACTCGTCCAGTAGTCCTTGCGGCAGGCGGTTTTGACGGAGGGAGAGGTGCTGCTGGCAGCGCCATATCCCTGTCCGTTTCCCTGGGCGGCAAAGCTCAGAGTGAGGGGTGGTCCATGGGATTGAGGAAACCAAGGCCGCAGCAATAGCCCCTCCAGGGAGAGGCCTCCAGTTTCCGTCGGGAGAGGGCTGAGAAAGTGGAGCATGAGGGGTGTGGTGCAGAGGCTCATCCCAGGAGGGGAAAGTGGAGGCAGGGGGTGGGGCGCGGGGCTGCCAGGAGGGCAGCTGCAATCCGGGAGTCAGGGCTGCGAAGCACAGCTGGAGGGTGGTCGAAATGCCCAAACATCTGGGTCTGAGTGGGAGGGAAGGGCCTGCACTTCTGAGCCAGAAGGAGCCAGAGGTCAACCGTGGGAGGTGAGCGTGCTCTGTGCGTACAGGCACACGTGTTACGTTGCTTCTGGTTTCCAGGTGCTCCTGAGAAGCATCGCCAGAGCATCACCTGTTTGCCCACATGGGTGGTTTGAGTGAGAGTGCCTTAGTGAGGCTGACCCAGATGACAAGGGTGCAGGAAGTGCTCTGAGACTTTCATGTGCGTGGAACTGCCAGGGATCTTGTGAGAATGCGGGTTCAGACTCAGCAGGTCAGAGGTGACCGGGACACATGGCATTTTTTACAAGCTCCCAGGTGATGCTGCCGCTGCCAGCCTGTGGACCCACATGGCGTAACGGGGTGTAAAGGGCACTCTGCACTGCCCCCTGGCGGCCTTGGTCGCGGTGTCTGCACTTGTCCAGTGGGTGATGGAGGCCGTCGGTGGTCACCGCGGCCGGAGGGGCGATTCCCAGGGACAGCTCTGACGTCCGCTGAACTGAAGCTGAGGTTGAACTGGATTGTCGGAGGGTAGAACCTCGGGAAGCCGCGTTTCTGGGTCAAGGACGTACTGATGAGATGCAGGAAATGAGAGAAGGGTTTGGGTTTGAGGGGCTTTTGCAGACTCCCCAGGTGGACGGCAGTCACTGGAAGTGGAGGGAGGGAGAGGAGCGGTCGCGGTCGGCCTGTGAGGACGACCACCCTCCCAGCACCACCTCCCTCAGCTGCAGTCCAAATAGTCCCGCGGAGCAGAACCCTGCTCCCAACTCCCGGCCTCCGACACCACTGTGCCTTGAGGGCATGAAACAGAGCTTTAACTTTATTTATTTTTATTTCTTTAATTTTGAGAGAGTGGTGTAAGGTGGGTACTGTTATCCTGAACTTACCCTTAGTTTTTCTTCTTTTGGGTGAGTAAACTATTTGGGATCCTGGCTTAGTAACTACCAGTATCACAGGGAGGGTTTCAAAATGTTCACATTCTTGTGCTCTTTCTCCATTTAGGGTGTAATAATAATTGTCCTTTTAAGGAAGATGTGATGTGTGTGTGTATATATATACATATACACACAAGAGAATATTACTCAGACATAAAAAAGAATGAAATAATGCCATTTGCAGCAACATAGATGGACCTAAGGATCATCATACTAAGTGAAGTCAGACAGAGAAACATAAATATCATATGATATCACTTACATGTGGAATCTAAAAAAACCCAATACAGGTGGGCTTGTATACAAAACAGAAACAGACTCAGGAGCAGAAACATCGAGAGAAGACTTACGTTTATCAAGGGAGAAACGTTGCGGGGAGTGATAAATTGAGAGTTTGGTATTGACGTATACACACTGCTGTTTGTAGAATAGATGATCCATGTGGACCTACTGTATAGCACAGGGAAATCTACTCAGTATTCTGCAATAACCTAAATGGGAAAAGAATCTGAAAAAGAATGGATATATGTATATGTATAACTGAATCATTTGGCTGTACACCTGATGCTGACACAACACTGTGAATCAATTATACTCCAATATAAAATAAAAATTAAATTAATAAAAAATGAATGGGAAAATTTTTAAAAAAGAAAACAACAACAACAATAATAAAGATCCACACACCAAAAAAAAAAAAAATCATCATCCTTTAGAGAATTAGCTGGAGTAAAGGTACCTTGGCACAAATTTTTTAAAGACAAAAGTAAATGGACTGTTTTTGACACATTGTCATGTTCCTGGTTAGACACCAATTTGAATGGGCTTGTGCTGCCTAAAGACAGAACGACTTACCATAATTGCAATGGATTTAAACACCTCAAATATCTTATACCCACCTCAAATATCTTATACCCACGAACCTGGAAGATGCTGGCACACTGACTTGTGATTTCTATGACTGGTAAATAAAGGGAGAAAAGATCAAACATTTATCCTGCCTTTACTATGTGAACAGTCCCTTGGGTGCCTAAATCATTGAGGAGGGGACGTTTTCTTCGTAGTTTTGCTAGAATGAAAATATCCTCGTTTTACATACCGTTGTGAATGAATGGATTTGGGCATTGGGCGTGCATCACAAAATTTTTGTGATGCAACTTAGAATAAGACGCAAGGACCCTTCATGTCCTAAAGGGCCTCTCAGTGTTAATCCCACCCCCTCTTTATGTGGGGCCACCTGCCCCAGCTCATCTTGACAATCCCATCACAACCACACCAGCCTCTGTGTGCACAGAGAGCCCTTGCATTTTCACTCTGTCTGACCGGCACGTTCCATCCCTCAAGACCCCTGGGCCTTCCTCAGATCCTCTCCACTGAGGATCTGGAGGTCTAACTCAGGTCAGAATGTTCGGGCCTCTGGTCTTCAGTACCGCTGGTGACATGTCCAAGCCTGCTGGGTTCTGTGTTTCTGGGTCAGACTTGGGAGCAGCGTCAAGCATTTCTGTGCACAGACCACAGCTCTCAGCATCCCTGCACCCATTTTCTGTATCACAGTCAGGAACCCTGCTGTGATACTTGGGGGTGGGGGAGCACTTTGGGTACCAGGCAGCAAATCCCAACAATCTGGGAACCCCACACTCTCCAACATCTCTTGCCTCCATTAACAATTCAGAAAGTTTCCCAAATGTTCCCTTCCCTGCATTGACCTTTTTCAATCTTTTCCTTCCACAGCACTCCTGATTACTGGATATGATCACTGGATTTGCAAGTTTTCCCTTCTTAGGGAATCACAATGACCCCAGATGTTTAATGGGGTCCCGGAATGATGAGGTCTTTGGGACCCAAGAATTCATTCAGTCATGCATTCGTCTATACATCCATTTACTCAACTCCGTTATCAGTGTATATCAGACCCAGAAAATGAGATGAAGAGGTCCTTCCCACTGAGAATTTACAGATTAGTAGAGGAGAGAGACTTGCAAACTAAGTTCAGAGCTGCGCAGCAGGCGCTAAATATAGTTAGGAAAACACGATGTTTGCACATAGCAGGAAGTTACTAACTGTGTAAAGAGGTCAAGGAAGTCTTGCCCAAAGAGTGACAGTGGAGATAACTGCGGACCTCAGAGTCGGTGCAGCCAGCTGGGGGTCATGGCAAAGGGACAGGAAGTCCACTGGCAAGTAGATGGCTTGGGCAGAGGTTTGGAGGCAACCGAGAGCATCAGCAGAAACAGATGGTGAGAGCAGCGCACAAGAAATGGGACTTGGGACAGAATCTGGGCCAGTCTCCAAAGGCTGTGTCACAACATGGAGTCTGAATTTTACCCCTTCAACCTGTACTGTCCTGTCGCAGCCAAGGCAACTGCGGACCACTTGGAACGTGGCCGGTCCAAATTGAGATGAGCCCCGAGTATAAAATACACACTGGGTTTTGAAGATTTAGTATGAAAAAAGAGTTAACCATCTCATAACTAATTGTACATTGCATGTTTAAATGATGATATTTGAAATGCATTGGTTTAAATAAAATATGCTATTAAACATCATTTCATCTGTTTCTTTTTATCTTTTTTTTAAAAATGCAGCCACCAGAAAATTGGAGACGGCAGATGTGGCTTGCATCCATACCTCTGAGGGTGGGAGACAATCGAGGCTACAGCGGAGGAGTGCAGGCAAGGCTGGATCTGGGAGTAATAAAGATGAGGAGTGGAGGATCCAGGCTGCAGCAGGATGATGGGCAGGAGGCCAGATTATGGCCGGGTAAGAAATGACTCAGACTAAAGGAAAGGTTTAGACAAGGAGGAGGCCAGGCCTGGTGACTGATGAGGAAATGATACCACTACTTGGTTGAGCACGCGTTACAGTCAAGTGCAGGTTAAGCATTTTATAGAAATTAATTGGTGCTATTATTGTCCTCTTTACAAACAACACTGGAAATGTTGGCCTAGCATCCAAATGACCCTTCTGAGGCTGACCAGAGCTAAGACTCATGCTCTGCCTGGCCCGAGGCCCGGGTCCAAGTTCCCATCCTCCAGGAATATGGTGGGGCAGGCGTGCTGGGATGATGGAGGTGCTGACCTGACTCCCTGCTCTCTGGGTTTCTTGTCGTGGCTTGGAATCACAAAGGATGAAAGCAAGGGAAGAACAGGTTACAAGCAGGTGACAGAGTTCTTTGGGGACCACCTAGATGGCCTTTGGAAACCTGGGCCTGGAGGCCCCTGCCAGGAGGCAAAGGCTTCATGCAGGAAGAACTCAGTGCATTTCAGAGAGAGGAAGCCCAAAGGGTGCTGAGAACTGGCCGGAGCTGAGACCATTGTTTTACAGGCGACTCAGGCCACACATGGAAGGGCTGATATTGACGTGAATGTACCCTTCGGGGTCTTTTCAGCCGTGATAAATGGACATTCTCAGCCAAGTTTGGATCACAGGGGAGATGGTTTGCCTGGCACCTGAGTGGGAGGCATGTCCACACGTGGTGTGGACGTGGGTGTACAGGGTCCCTCTCTGCAGGGCACACACTGACTCACCACCCAGGGGCTCAGGATGCAGATATGGGCCAGGGTAGCAGGAACCCACCATTCCCTCTTTACCCAACAAGCTCATCGGCAAGGCCACACACATGCTTTGTATCCCTCCTGCCCCCGGGTCTTCCAAGGGTCCAGAGGGTTAGTATCCTGGAGTCCTCAGGCAGAAGGAATTGAGGGTGACCTTGATCACCCCACCGAGTGTGGTTTGGCTGAAACCTAGAGGCAGGAACTGGGTGTTTCTCTGGAGCAGGGGTCAGCAAAGCATGGCCTGAGTGCCACATCCAGCCCAGCCCTGTCTGTTTCTGTAAATAAAGTTTAATAGGAAACAGCCATGCCCGCGTGTTCACATATTGTCTGTGGATGCTTTTGAGCCGTAAGGACAGAAATGAGTAGTTGCCACAAAGATCATATGGCCCAGAAAGCCAAAAATATTTACTACATGGCTCTTCACAGAAAATATTTGCCAGCCCTGCCGCTTTCCTGCACAGAAGAGGAAACGCCTTTCTCTCTCCTAGACCAGTGTTTCTCAGGTGGGGTGGTTTTGCCACCTTGGGGGCCTTTGGTGATGCCTGGAGACATTTTTAGTTGTCATAACGAGGGGCAGGAGGGTGTTTGGTGGGTAGAGGCCAGGGATGCTGCTCGACATTCTGCAGTGCACAGGGCAGCCCTTCTACAACAAAGAGCCATCTGGCCCAGCGGAGGACGTAGGCCACCCCTATCCCCGGGCACGGCTGTCCTCCCCAGAGGCCCGATGAAGGCATTTTCTGAGCTGCTTACGCTGTGCACAATCAGGTGACAATAGGGGGTCCTGTCCCAGGCAGGGGCATCCCCCAAGATGCTATGGCAGCCCCCTGCCTCCCAGGACCCACAAGACCAGAGGCTCCGGCCAAGCAGACCGTGACCGGCCAGGTCTCCTGGGACCTTCACCCGGGTTGGGTCTTGGGTGCGTCCCACTCATTCTGACTGTTCGCAGAACATCTGGGGCCTCCCTGGAACAAATTCAGACCCAGCAAAACAAATTCCCAAGACACAAGCAGATTTAATTCCCGAATCCAGCCTCCAAAGGGGTTTCCAGGAGCTTCTCCTCACCTGGGGCAGCCCAAGGCCCCACCCTCCTCGCCACACCACCTTCTCCTCAGGGAGGCGCCCTTCTGCCTTTGGTTCAAGGTAAGCGTGTCCTAGGGTGCCTGGGAGGCTGGAGCAGCAGGCTCCCTTTCCTCCCTCCTCTCCCTCTGCATCTCCAGCTCCTGCTCCACGCCCTGGGCCCCCACGGCGCAGAAATACACAGCCTCGTCCTCCGGCTGAAGATCAGAGATGCTCAAATACCCTGTGTTCTTAGCCAGGTCTTTGGAGCCAGAGAAGCGAGGGGGGACCTTGGGGCCCTGGTTCTTGTCCGAGTGGGAGAAATATCTCAGCAGAAACCTTGGGGGATGGCCAGACCTCTGCTGGTACCAGTAGATGCTGTGAACACCGACATCATGGTCGCTGCTCAGCGTGCAGGCCAGGCGGATCGTGGTTCCAAGGGACGAGGACACGGATGGCGGCTGATTCAGCACCGGCTGAGGGCCACAAGCTGGGGACACAGAAACATGTGGGCATCCAGGGCAAAGCAGGGCGAGGGAAGGGGCCGGGGGCCTTGAGCTCTGGGGGTTCTCACCTGTGCAGTGGGCCAGGAGCGCCAGCAGGACAGGGGTCCAGGACATGGTGCAGCCGAGCAGAGCTCTGCCTCCAGTGTGCACTGGGGCCCCGGGCCCTCGCGGGGCTGCGCCAGCACCCTCCTCCGCCCTCCCAGGGGTGGGGCCGTTGCACGCCCAGTTCCCAGTGGCCATCCCAGACTTCTTGGGTTTGCATTGTCGGTTAGGGGGACGGCCCCGTGGTGGCCTTTGCGGCTCCTGCCTTGGCCCCATGGAAGCGTTTAGGGAGGAAGCACCTGCTTGGAGCTCGCGGGTCAGTGCCCAGGAGGCCAGGCTCGAGTCCCTGAGGGGGTGACCTCAACATCCCCCCGAAGAAGATGAGCCCCACAGAATAAGGTTCTTGTGCACATTTATGTGCCTGGTGAACCGGGAAGAGAGGACAGGTACTCAGGGTGGAAAATACCTGCTTGGTGCTGCAGAAAGTGTAAGGGGCCCTGGGGTGAGGGGGCCACTCTGTCCACTCCCATGTCCCTAGCATGCCCTCCACCCAAACCCAGCCCCTTTCCTCCTGGAGTAAAGCTGGAGTGACTAGCAGCTTCCTAGAAGGGAGCATCTTGGGGGCCCCCATCTGGGGCCCAGGGCAGGTGGAGGTGGAGGTAGAGTACCCTTACCCACTTCAGCACTGCCCTGGCCCTCTGCCCCCTCCTCCTCATGACGGTCTCCCCAGGGATCAGGGGAGGAGGTGTAAGTGAGCTCAGTGGTCCTGGGGGCCCACTCCTCGGCCAGACCTGCACCTGCATCCTCAGGTCCATAAATAAGACGCTATGTGGGGAACAAGGGGTTGTACAGAAAAGAACTGGCTGCTCTTTGTCCCTGGCACTTGGAAGGGAGTCTCTAAATCCTTGGAATTTCCCGAGTGATAGGAGTGTCTTCGTTATTCATGGAGGACCCTGAGTTTATGCTAATGGGTGATTCAGGATGGTGACTAGCCATGAAGAAAGCCCCACCGTGTGATTCAAAGATTAGGGCTTTAGTGGGCTTCCCTGGTGGCGCAGTGGTTGAGAGTCTGCCTGCTGATGCAGGGGAAACGGGTTCGTGCCCCGGTCCGGGAAGATCCCACGTGCCGTGGAGCGGCTGGGCCCGTGAGCCATGGCCGCTGAGCCTGCGCGTCCGGAGCCTGTGCTCCGCAACGGGAGAGGCCACAACAGTGAGAGGCCCACGTACCGCAAAAAAAAAACAAAAAACAAAGATTAGGGCTTTAGGCCATGAGATACCAGCACAAGCCCCAGGGCGGGGAGGGGGCCCCCCGAGGCTGAGTCCAAGCACAGAGCCAGTGGTCCCAGCAACTGTCCTGAGTAATGAAACCCCAGTGGAAACTGTGGACACAGAGGTTCAGAGGAGCCTCCCAGGCTGGTGCATTGTGGGCGTGCAGGAGGGCAAGGCATCCTGAGGACACAGAAGCCCCACATCTGGGACCCCCATCGCCCCTCATGCATCTCTTCATTCGACTGCTTCTGGTTTGTAGCCTTTACAACAAAACTGGAATCATAAGGATGGAGCTTTCTTGAGTTCTGTATTTCTACCAAGTCATTCAGCCTGAGGGGGTCTCCCCCGCAAATCTGTGGCCAATTGGCCAGAAATACAGGTGGCCTGGGACTATCTGAGCTTGCAATCTGAAATGAGCAGTGTTATTTTTTGGGGGGAGGGGGCTGTGCCCTTAACTGTGACAGTTTACCTAACTCCTAACTCCATGTAGCTGATGTCAGAATTGCATTGCAAAGGGCACTCAGCACCGTCTGCTCCCCATTCTCCAGCTCACTAAGCAGGCACTTTGGCCCAGTTATGGACTGGATTGTGTTCCCCCAAATCCATATGTGAAGCCCTAACCCCCAATGTGACTCTATTTGAAGGTAGAGCCTTTAAGGGAGTAATCAAGGTTAAATGAAGTCATAAGGGTTGGGCCCTAATCCTATATGACTGGTGTCCTTATAAGAAGAGAAAGAGACACCAGAGCTCACTCTGTCTATCTGTCTGTCTGTCTACCTATTATGTAGCTACCTAACTATCCATCTATCATCTATTAATCTATCTGTATCTCTTATCTATCTAATTTTTATTTTTTAATTTTGCTTTATTTTTTAAAATATTTATTTATTTATTTGGCTGCCCTGGTCTTAGTTGCTGCATGTGGGATCTAGTTCCCTGATCAGGGATCAAACCAGGGCCCCCTTCATTGGGAACGTGAAGTCCTAACCACTAGACCACCAGGGAATTCCCCTATCTATCCATCTATCTATCCACCTATCTATCTATCTATCTATCTATCTATCTATCTATCTATCTACCTCTGCACATACACGAAAAGGCCACGTATGTGAGGACACAGCAAGAAGGCAGTCATCTACAAGCCAGGAAGAGTGGTGTCAACAGAAACCCACCCTAAAGGCACCTTGATCTTGGACCTCTCGCCTCCAGACTGTGAGAAATGAATTTCTGTTGTGTTAAGCCCCCCAATCGGTGCGACTTCGTTACGGAAGCCCCAACAGGCTAACACAGGCCCAACATTCTTTCCTATAACTCCACTCCTATATTTCTCCAGAGGCACTTAGGAGGCATCCATACGGACCCAGAAACAGAGGAAGCACACAAACAGAAACCAAGACACTGAGGGAAACAAAGTTTTCTCTGCATAAAGGGGCGTGAGCCCAAAATCCTGGGGGAAATCATTGTTTCCCCATCTGTTCAACAAATATCCACCCTGCTCCTGCTCTACCAGGCACTGCAGATGCCACGGCAGATGTAAGGGCAAGATGCTTGTCCTCACAGGGCCTACACTCTCTTGGAGAGTCAGGCTGGTGGACCTGTTGGAGAGGCAACGGCCCTGAAGGCGGCACCGTACTGCAGTCCCTGAGCCTGGGCCCGCGATGACCCCCGTCATCCTGTAAACCCCTGCCCTTCTCCTGCCGCCATCTTGGCAGACTGCTGACAGATGCTCCCCGTCCCCCAGAATCCTAACTGTTGAGGGAAAAGGAGTTGATTTCTAGCGTTCCCCAGAGATAAGGATTGAAAGGAAATGTTAGCTGGGCTCAAGGAAGAGGTGAGACTGCATCTTACTTCTCATCAGCCAGCAGATCAGTCAGCATCTTGCAGGAAACAGGACACACCCATTGGAGGGTGTTAAGGGTTGAATTGTGTTCCCCCAAAATTCATGTAGAAGTTCTAACCCACCCCCAGTACCCCAGAGTGTGACCTTCCTGTGAGATAGGATCTTCACTGAGGTAATTAAGTTAAAGTGAAGTCATTAGGGTGGGCCCTAATGCAACAAGACTGGAGTCCTTACAAGAAGGGGAAATTTGTGACTTCCCCGGCAGTCCAGTGTTTGGGACTCCGCTCTTTCACTGCCTAGGGTATGGGATTTTTTTAATTTGGTTTGGTTTGGTTTTGGTTTTTATTTCACTTATTTATTTTTGGCCGCATTGGGTCCTCACCACTGTGCCTGGGCTCTCTCTAGTTGTGGCGAGCAGGGGCCACTCTTAGTTGCGGTGCACGGGCTGCTCATTGTGGTGTCTTCTCTTGTTGTGGAGCACGGGATCTAGTCATGCGGGCTTCAGTAGCTGTGGCACGTGGGCTCAGTAGTTGTGGCACACGGGCCTGGTTGCTCTGAGGCACGTGGGATCTTTCTGGACCAGGGCTCGAACCTGTGTCCCCTGCATTGGCAGGCGGATTCTTAACCACTGCGCAACCAGGGAAGGCCAAGGGCCTGGGTTTGATCCCTGGTCGGGCAACTGAGATCCCACAAGTCATACGGCTCGGCCAAAAACATAAATAACTAAAAAGAAGGGGAAATGTGGGCACAGAGACAGACACTCAGAGAGGGAGACCATCTGAAGTGACAGAGAGAGAAGACAGAGATCCCTTGAATAGATCCATCCCTCACAGCCCTCAGAAGGAACCAACCCTGCCCACACCTTGATCCTGGACTTCCAGCCTCCAGAGCTTTGAGGCAATAAATTTCTGTTGTTTAAGCCACCCCGTCTGTGACAACTTGTTGCTGCAGCCCTAGCAAACGAATCCAGAGACTGTTCCAAGATGGCCCCAACAGGCCCCTTGTCATACGGGCTTGTCCTCTCACCAGAAGCTGGAGTCTATGTTTCCTCCCCTTGGCTCTGCACAGGCCTGTGACTATGGTTGAAGTGACCCGTGCGAACTGGGTGGCCCTGAGCAGCTGGGTGCGCACTGGGGCTCTTGTCTCACAAACACAGAATGGAGCAAACATGCCTCTGGCTCCCATGAGCCCCTGCGTGGCCTCAAGCTGCTCTACGTCCAATCTCCTGGTCCTCTCAGAACTAGCCTCCTTCCTTTGGTGCTAATTTCAATGTCACCTCCTCTGTAGTCTTACCTGACTGCCCCAGGTAAGCAGGCTCACCCCATCTTGCTCTACTACTTTCATTTTTGAAATGAAAGTACACACTACTTTCATTTTTGTCAAAGCGTTTACCCAGGTTTATCCGTGTGCATCTGTGCGAGGACCACAATCTGTGCGAGGACAAGGACCATTTCTCTGTATTCATCACTGAATGTACAACCCTTAGGTAATACAGTTCCCCTATAGATTCACTATTGTGTAACAACGTGAATGAATGAATGAATGAATGGTGCTTCTCTCATGGGGGTGCCGGCCCACACAGCAGCTGGTGGGCACACAGTGGGTGGGCAGCAAGTGGCACCCATGAGCAGCTCATGCTCTTCAGCCTCTCGCTCTGGGTGACGAGCTGGAAATTCTAACACAGCCAGTTGTGTTCCTGAGCCCCACTGAATGCATGTCGCCCACATTGAGGCCCCAGTCCATTGAGAGGGGACCAGACTCACGACAGCTGCCCTGTCTCTAACTAGAACCACTAAAAATCTATCTTCTGCCCCTGCTGAAATCACACAGGACTATACCATCAACCAAACATCATCAAACATCTTCCTAAGAGTAGAAGTGACCCACAGCTGAGCCTCAAGCGTCTCAGGGTGGAGGAAGTGGGGTTAGAAGGGCAGAGGGGTCCCCCCCACGTCTGACATGT